CCTTGATCCTCACAGAGGCACTCCAGAAATGGCATGGTCAGAGCCTCAGGGAGAGAAGAACCTGCCAGGTCAGATCCTCTTAAATTCTCTACACCCTTGGTGTCTGTGTCTTTCCATCTACTTCTCTGACCATTCCATTTGTTTTCCTTTGTGGACTTCTCTCCCAGGCTCTGGCTCTGTCCGGAGCTGGGGCACCACTGGGGTAGGTGGTAGGAAGTTAGGGACCCAGGTGTCAGAGGGAGCATGAATCCTGGGCACCCAGAAGTTAGCAAATGGAGGGGGAAGAAATGAGGGCCAACTGCTTGTATGAAATTGCTGATATTTGATCATTTTTGATCTATAAAATCAGCAATTTCATCTGGTTCAAACTACAACTTCAGAAATTGCTTCAGTAGGGCCTATGTCCACCTATACTTTATTTTTTAAATGTTTATTTATTTGGGAGAGAGAGAGAGAAAGAGAGAGAGAGAGAGAGCGCATGCATGAGCCAGGGAGAAGCAGAAAGAGAGGGAGAGAGAGAATTCCAAGCAGGCTCCATGCTGTCAGTGCAGAGCCCAATGCGGGGCTCAACCTCAAGAAATGTGAGATCATAACCTGAGCCAAAATCAAGAGTGATATACTCAATGGACTGAAACACACAGGCATTCCACCTATACTATAAAGAAGGCTATAAGAAGGTAGCAGGGTGCCTAGGTGGCTCAGTTGTTTAAGCAACCGACTCTTGGTTTCAGATCAGGTCATGATCTCACTGCTTCTGGATTCAAGTTCTGTGTTGGTCTCCACAGTTGGCAGTGCAGAGCCTGCTTTGGATTCTCTCTCTCCCTCTCTCGCTGTCTCTCCCCCTCTCATGCTCTCTGTCTTTCTTAAAATGAATAAACTAAACTAAAAAAGCTTAAGTAGCCTACACAAAGGTAAATAGAAATAATTAAATGAGAAAAGACTGCTCTTTACAACTAGCAACTCTGCAGTTCCAGAAGTTAGTGAAGTGCTGGATTCTCACGTGAAATCATGTACAGTCAGGAAGTAGATCTGTTCCTGCTAAAAAGTTTATAGCCAACCTAAAATCCCCTTCATTGTCAAGGAAGGTAGGGCAGTGCAGCAGATCTCTGTGTCTCTGAGACTAGGATGCCTGTCTGGGGTAATTATTCAGAGCAGACCTTGGAGTTCTATCATTCTGTGGGTCTGCACAGCAGTCTGTGAGGAAGAGCATCAGCTAGAATTTTAGAAGGGGTTGGTAAAGACTTAGTACCTCCGGGGTAGCTCAAACAACTCTCTGCAAAGACCAAGGCTTGCTATAAGGAAGCCTGCACTAGATGCTGAGATGCTGCTTACTATCTGTGGGGTCTTAGCTAAGTAAAACTCTCTGGGCCTCAGGATGCCTGCGTGGCTCAGTTGGTTAAGCATGTGACTTCAGCTCAGGTCATGATCTTGCAGTCTGTGAGTTTGAGTCCCATATCGGGATCTATGCTGACAGCTCAGAGACTGGAGCCTGCTTCAGATTCTGTGTCTCCCTTTCTGTGTCCTCCCCACCCTGGTCACACTCTGTGTCTCTCAAAAATGAATAAATGTTAAAAAGAAAAAAAAATATCTGAGTCTCAGTTTTTTCCTCTATAGAATGGGATGGTAATTCCTACCTCTTAAGACTATATTAGTCTACTAGAGCTGCCATAAATAATACTACTGGGTGGCCTGAACAATAGAAATGTATTTTATCACAGTTCTTGAGCCTAGAAGTCCAAGAGCAAGGTGTTGGATGGGTCGGTTTTTGATGAGGCCTCTCTTCTGGACTTGTAGACGGCTGTCTTCTTGCTATGTCCTAACATGGCCTCATCTCTGTGAGGTTGCAGAGAGAGAGAAAGAGAGAGATCTCTGATGTTTCTTCCTCTTCTTATAAGGACACCAGTCCTAACAGATTAAGATCTCATCCTTATGACGTGATTTAACTTTTGTTACCTTTTTATAGGCCCTATCTCCAAAAACAGTCACATTGGGGATTAGAGTGTCAACATATACATTTGGGAGAGGGGCACAGCTCAGTCCAGAATAGACTGTTTTCAGAGTAGCAGGACATATATTATGCTCTGAAAATAGTAGCTCTTTTGATGCAGGGCATAGAAGAGGTCAAGCAGGTTCCCATGAATCTGGCTGCTGAATCAAGAAGGTCTGAGCAGACCAAGCCAAAGATACACCAGGTCTTTGGTGAAGAGGAAATAAAAGTCAAGACCATAGCCCCACACTATATTATCATTATTTTGCTACACTTCTCTTTATGCTTAAAAGGTCTGTTTAATAACTATCTTTGTATTTTCATGATGCCACCTTCTCCCTTACTTCCTACATTCCGTCAGATACTAGCTGTCCCTGATCTACATTCCCCACTCTCTTATTAGTCTAGGTCTCCACCCTTGATGAATTAGATACTCACTGTGGCTTCCTCTGTTCTTTTGCCACATTCAGTCCCACCCACTCTCACACCCCAGACAGGCTGGTAGTTTAAAGTGTAAACTAGATAATGGCACATCTCCACTCAAAATGTTTTGATGGTTCCTATTATTTTTAGGATAACCTCAAACTTTATACCAAGCTTCCAAGGACCCTCCTTGTGTCTTTTGGCTCTTACCCATCTCTTCAGCTTCATTGTCTGTCAACCCCAGTTTCTCATTCTCTGACCCAGATGCTTCTGGGTTACTGCCCAAGCTGCTCTGCCTGCCCATACTCGTCTGTTCCCCACACCCTTGTACCAGAATCATTTTTCAGATCTCAGGTTCCAAGCAACACAACCCAGAAAGCCTTTGTTAGGAGATTAGGCTGGGTACCTAGCCCATGTGCTCACATTCTTTCTGTCCTAACAGCTATCTCCCCATATTGAAATCTCCTGTAGCTGTCTCTATTTCACCCTTCAAGCTGTAAGATCTCGGAGGTGACCGAACATAGCAAGGGTCTTATTTATTGTTGTGGTCTAAGCACCTAGCACAGCAAGTGGTACATAGTAGGTGCTCAATAAATACTAGTCGAATTAACTAATTATCTTTTGAAAAACCATTTTGGATAGTTGTATACCTATGTTCACAACAGCATTATTCACAAAAGCCAAAAGGTGAAAACAACCCCACTGTTCACTGATGGACGAATGGATAAACAGAATGTGGTATGTCCATACAATGGAATATTATTCAGCCTTAAAAAAGAAAGAAATTCTGACACATACTACAACATGGAGGAAATTTGAAGACACTATACTAAGTAAAATAAGCTTGTCATAAAAGGACAAATATGGTAGGACTCCTCTTATCTGAGGTTCCTAGAGTAGTCAAATTCAGAGACAGGAAGTAGACTGGTAGTTGCCAAGGACTCAGGGGAGAGAGGAATGAGGAGTTAATGTTGAATGGGTGCAGAGCTTTAGTCTGGGAAGACAGAAAAGTTCTGGAGATGGATGGTAGCGATAGTTGCATAGCATGGGGAATATATTTAATGTCACTAAACTGTACACTTAAAAATGGTTAAAATGATAAGTTTCATGTTTGTGTATTTTGCCACCATAAAAAATAACCACTAAAAGTAATTTTTATAAAATTTCTAACAACAATCTACCAAATTAAAGGCTAGAACATGTAATTGTATTACAGAGCATTCTAGTACCTTCACATCAGTTTGTATTCATTGTAATAATATCAACATAGATAAAAAAAAAAAAGAAAGAAATCCACCTACAACTTCACCATTCCAACGCTTCCTCTGTTTTCATTTATCCATATGTTTTTCTGATAGTGTATGATAGGCATACACAATGAGACGGTGTTGTGTTTATCGAGCACATGACATTGTGCTGTTTTTCTCCCTTCTCATTGTATTTTTCATTCGCACATCGAACAAATATTTACTGAGACCTATTTCATGTTAGGCACAGAGGATTTGGAGCTAAATGACTGCAAAATCATTTTTCCATATTTTTAATTATTTACATAATAATTCCTGTAAAATTGCTCTTTGAATCAAACGCAAATTGATGCAGGTGTTCCTTTTCTTGTCTATTTATAAATTTTAGCTCTGAAGAATGTGTGGTAACTTATAATGTGACCTATAGTATCAAACCATAAAATTAAAATTATCAGGGAAGGAAAATAAATATGCCATAAACCTAGTCTAATAGAATTACTATAACTGAACATATAGCTCTGAGATTTCAGGCAAGGCAAAAAGAAAACAGTGAAGCAGTCATTCTCATTGCTTGACTTAAAGCAAGCCCGTCATACTTCTGATAGGGATGGAGATCCTGACTTCCCCACATGGGAGGAACTGATGGTGGACTAGAGGTAAGGAGGTGGAGATAGTCTAGGTAGGGGAGGGCCAGCTTTACCCAGGAACTTGGTTAGGAGGAAGAGTAAGGTGTGGTGAAGCTAGGCAGGGACAAAGAGTGTTGGTTGGAAAATTCTGTAGAGAGCCAGAAATCAAGGATTCAGGAGAGAGATGGTTTGACTGAGGAGATGGGGTCCTTGGGGAGGTCCAGGAATGGGGCCTTGGACTCATGTGGGAAATGAAGGCATTTCCTGGCTGGTGATGACTGGTTTTTGTTTTTTTTGTTTTTTTGTTTTTTTTTTTTTCAGTTTAAATGAGATGAGAGTGTGAGAGAGAGGGGTTGGAGGTTTGAGAAGAATGGGAAAGGCACCAGCTACTCCTTGTTGAATCTACTGATAGTCTGTTTCAGATTCAGACTATTGAGGTATCTGAATCCAGGAATAGATAAGAAAAAGGACAGACCATGACCCAAATATCAACAAGACCCTGGTTCAATCTTCCAAGTAGGCCCTTGACCCTGTACAAACCGTCTCTTCTTCCCTATAGGATACTATATCTGAAGGTTCTCCTACCCCTGCTTTCCTGAGAGTGATGATTCGTAGTGACTGTGAAGACAGGCAGGTGGCATAGCCAATGGGGCAGCTAGCTGGGAGATTCTAAGGAGTGGAACAGTTGGTGAGGAAGGAGAGGTTTCCTGTTGAGCACCAGGCTTTACAAAGGAAAGGAGAGAAAAAAACAAGGCTTCAGAACTGTGGCAGCAGAAGCAGGGACACAGGCCGTCCAGACAGGATCCACTCCTCCAGCCACTGCAGTAAAAAACCTTCCCTTTAGTCATCATTCAACACATGTTACCAGCGATTTGGTGCTTTAATTTGAGTGACTGGGATTTGGCTATAAAGCTGTCTCTGAAGGAAGAAAAGCAGAGATCTGTGAGCCTGACCACCAACTGTTTTATTTCCCAGGAGAGTTGGCAGGTGAGAGTTGGGAGGCCCACCATGGCCTTCCTCTTTTCTTCCCTCTCATCTTTGGACCATGCGCTTGCAAAGCAGATGAAACCCAAAGTTTAGGCTGCTGAATTAGATACTCTGGTTTCTAATCTTGACTCCTCTGTGTACTTGGCTATGAAATGATCATGGAGGAGTCATTTAATGATTCTAAATCTCAGCTTTCTTGTCTGGAAGTTGAGAATACTTATCTATAAGGTTGTTCTAAAGAACAAATGACAAATAACTGTCCATTTGTGGCAGAGTGCCTTGCACATAGTAAATGCCCAGTATGCGCATTGTTTTTCCACTGTCCCACCTACCCTTTTGGCTCTTCTCCTTGATCAACCACTGCTCTTGGCAGGCTGACTGGTTAGTCCTACATCCATCAGCTTACTCTGGAGCCTGGCTCTCATTCCTATGTATGGCTGTTTGAATGATGTGACCTGATTCTTGGGGATAATTCAGAAATATTGCTGAGTCTCAGACACCTTTGAAAGAGACTTTTCAGCACAAGCTGTGACAATTTTTCAGTAAAATCCAAAGCATTAAAAAAAAAAAAACCCCAGAAAATAACAAATGTTGGCAAGGACATGGGGAAATAGAGCACTTAATGTATCGCTGGTGGGAATGCAGATGGCATAGCTACTATGAAATACATTGTGGTGATTCCTCAAAAAAAACTAAACATAGATTTACCTTGTTATCCAGCAATTCTGCTTCTCATTATATACTCACAAGAAGTGATTGTGGAAACTCAAACATATTTGTACATCCATGTTCATAGTCGTTTTATTCACAACAGTCAAAAAGTGGAAACAACCCAAATGGCCATCAACAAATGCATACATTAGCAAAATGTAGTATATCCAGACAGTAGAATATTATTTAGCCATTAAAAGGAATGACAATTTGATACCTGCTACAATGTGAATAAAACTTGAAGATTTTATGCTAAGTGAAATAAGCCAGTCGCGAAAGGATAAATATGGCATGGTTTCTCTTTGAGGAGGTTCCCAGAGTATTCAAACTCATAGAGGCAGAAAGTAGAGTTGTGGTTTCTGGGGACTGGGAGAGGGTGGGGGGTGAAAGGAAGATATTGCTTAGGAGTAGAGCTTCAGTCTGGGAAGATGAAAAAGTTCTGGAGGTGGATGGAGATGATGTTTGCGCATGTGCAACATTAGTGTGAATGTACTCAATGTCACAGAAGCGTACACTTAAAAATGGTCATAATCGTAGATTCTGTGTTAATGTGTATTTCATCAACAAAAGACATCAAAGATTTGTTAAATATTCTAAATCTCAAGTTAAAAGATTGGTCACTGTCATGTAAAAGAACATATATAAGAGAGGACAACCACTGACAATTACCTAAATTAAACTAATAAAAAAGATTTAAGAAAGGTCAAGGCCAAGATGGCAGAGCAGCATGGACATGTTTTACATCTCTCGTCCATGAAATGCAGCTAGATCAACACCAAACCATCTTGCACACCTAAAAAATTGATCTGAGGATTAACTCAACAATCTGTATAACTTGAACCACAGAACTTGGCAGGTACGTGACACAGAGAGGTTAACTGGGGGAGAGAAGCCACGGAGGGTAGGTAGCTGTTTTTGCTTGTGGAGAGAGGACAGAGATGAGGGTGGGGAGTACTGGAAAAGCACTCCCTCCCAAAAGCAGCTGAAGAAAAAGAGAAAGAATGGAAACACCCATAAGGGAATAAATAGGAAAAGAGGGAGAAAGGAGAAAGAAGAGGGTTTGGGCCATTATGACTCAATGAACAGGGGAGTGTAGAGTCTGAAACTCCACATACCTGGTGGGGTTCTGGTGGGAAGGGTGAATCCCCAGGAGCAGACAGTGAGGTCTGAAGGATCTTCAGGCCATATGGGGAGAGGTGGCCCTGCTGAGAGGACATTTAGTAAAGGCTGTGCAGACTCCTCATGGGCAAAGGTCTCCAGCGAACCCCAGAGAACAACCACGTTTTCTGGCGTTGGAACAAGGACGTTAAGAACCAGTAAGGCCGGGCGCCAGATGTGTGTTGTGATTTACCATAATCCCTCAAATGCTGCTGCTACACAATTGCATGAACTATTTCTGGGGCAGCTGGCACCTGGCCATTGCTCAGTGAGACCCTCCCACAGAGGGCTGGAGCAGGTCAAAGCTGTAGGGCTCTCAGAAGTGAGGGATTTGGAAACAGAGTCTCATCTGAGACAAAACTTGGGAGGGAGAGTCCCTGGCCAGCTGTCCACTTGGTCGTGGACAGGGTAGAAGTGGGGAGTGGATGGAGACTGGAGACAAAGGAGGGGTGCTTGATTTCCAGTCAGGGAGAACACAGAGATCTGATATCAGAGACTGGGTAGCTGGGTGAAGCCATTTTCGCCTCTCCCATGCACGCACACACGTGCCAAAATGATCCACCCCAGTAAGCTAAGCAATGCCATCTAGTGGAGAACTGAGCTGTTACACCAAGCTTCCTCCAACTGTGCCAATTATGTTCTAGAGGAACAAGTCTCTCTGGCTTCTTAGTTTATGGACTATAAAGTTCTTCATAGTTTGATTTCTAGGGGAAACTGGATGTAATTTCAATTGTATTCCATTCTGTTCTGATGGTCCAGCTGTTCAGTTTTTTCCCTTCTTTTCTTTTTCTTATTCTGAATACAAAAAGAGAAAATTTTTATTTTTATTTTCTGTTTTTTATAAAAAAGATTTTTCTCTATTTTTTCTACCATATTTTCTATTTTTTTGTAAAAATTTAAATTCTACTTTACTTTCATCATTTCATTTTATTCTATTTTATTGTATTCATTTAAAAATTTTTCAAACATCCCCCCCCTTTTCCTTTTCTTTTCTTTCCCTTTTATCTCTAATCTATCAAGCTTCTTTCAACAACCAGACCAAAACATACCTAGGATCTCGCATCCTTTATTTGATTTTTTGTGTTGTTTTCAATTATTTATTTTATTAATTCTTTTTCTTCTTCCAAAATGATGAAACAAAGGAATTCATCCCAAAAGAAAGAACAGAAAGAAATGACAGCTAGAGACTTAATCAACACAGATACAAGCAAGATGTATGAACCAGAATTTAAAATCATGATAATAAGAATACTAGCTGGAGTTGAAAAAAATCACAGAATTCCTTTCTGTGGAGATAAAAGAAGTAAAATCTAGTCAGGACAAAATTAAAAATGCTATAACTGAGATGCAATTTTGAATGGATGCCACAGTGGCAAGGAAGCAGAACAGTGAATCAGCGATATAGTGGACAAACTTATTGAGAATAATGAAGCAGAAAAAAAAGTGGGAAACTAAAGCATAAGAGCATGATATAAGAATTAGAGAACTCAATGACTCATTAAAAAGGAATAACATCTGAATCATGGGGTTTCCAGAAGATGAATAGAGAGAAAAAGGGGTAGAAGGTTTATGTGAGCAAATCATAGCAGAAAACTTTCCTAACTTGGGGAAAGACACAGACATCAAAATCCAGGAAGCACAGAAAACTCCCATAGATTCAACAAAAACCAACCACCAGCAAGGCACCTCATAGTCAAATTTACAAAATACACAGACAAGGAAAGACTCATGAAAGCAACAAGGGAAAAATGTCCTTAACCTCCAAGGAAAGACAGATCAGGTTCTCAGCAGACCTATCCACAGAAACTTGGCAGTCCAGAAAGGGGTGGCAAGATATATTCAGTGTGCTGAACTGGGAAAATATGTAGCCAAGAATTCTTTACCCAGCAAGGCTGTCATTCAAAATAGATGGAGAGATAAAAAGTTTCCCAGACAAACAAAAACTAAAGGAGTTTGTGACCACTAACCCAGTCCTGGAAGAGATTTTAAGGGAGACTCTCTGAGGGGAGTAAAGAGTAAATAAAGCAAAAGAGACCAAAGCAACAAAGACTAGAAAGGACCAGAGAACACCACCAGAAACTCCAACTCTACAGACAACACAATGGCAATAAATTCATATCTTCCAGCACTCACTCTAAATGTCAATGGATTAAACACTCCAATCAAAAGACATAGGGTAATAGAATGGATAAGAAAACAAGATCCATCTATATGCCGTTTACAAGAGACCTATTTTAGACTTAAAGTCACCTTCAGGTAGAAAGTAAGGGGATGGAGAACCATTTACCATGCTGATGGTCACCAAGAAAGCTGGAGTAGCCAAACATATATCAGACAATCTAGATTTTAAAATAAAGACACTTGGGGTGCCTGGGTGGCTTAGTCGGTTAAGCGTCCGACTTTCGCTTAGATCATGATCTCATGGTTCGTGGGTTCAAGCCCCGCGTCGGGCTCTGTGCTGACTGCCAGCTCAGAGCCTGGAACCTGTTTCAGAGTCTGTGACTCCCTCTCTCTCTGACCCTCCCCTGCTCACGCTGTCTCTCTCTCTCTCTCTCTCCTAGAAATAAATAAAACATTAAAAAATTAAAAAAAATAAAATAAAGACACTAACAAGAGATGAAGAAGGGCATTATATTATAATTAAGAGATCTATCCACCAACAAGACCTAACAATTGTAAGTATCTATGCCCCCAACGTGAAAGACCCAAATATATAAGTCAATTAATGACACACTGGACTGGATGGACTTAACAGATATACTCAGAATATTTCATCTGAAAGCAGCAGGATACACATTCTTTTCTGGTACATATGGAACACTATCCAGAATAGATCATGTACTGGGACACAAATCAACCCTCAAATAGTACAAAAAGATTGAGACCATACCATGCATATTTTGAGACCACAATGTTATGAAACTCAATATCAACCACAAAAAAAAAAATTTGGAAAGACAACAAATACTTGGAGATGAAATAACATCCTACTAAAGAATTAATGGGCTAATGAAGAAGTTAAAGAGGAAATTAAAATGTCCACAGTTCAAAACCTTTGGGACACAGCAAAGGCGGTCATAAGAGGGAAGCATATAGCAATCCAGGTCTCCCTAAGAAAGGAAGAAAGGTCTCAGATACACAACCTAACCTTACAGCTTAAAGAGTTGGAAAAAACACAGCAAGTAAAACCCCAAACCAGGAGAATATGGGAAATAATGAAGATTAGAGAAATCCATGCTATCTAATAAAAAACAGTAGAACAGACCAATGAAACCAGGAGCTGGTTCTTTGAAAGAATTAACAAAATTGACAAACCCCTAGCCAGTTTGATCAAAAAGAAAAAAGGAAAGGACCCAAATAAATAAAATTATGAATGAAGCAGTAGAGATCACAACCAGCACTGCAGAAAAATAAACAATAATGAAAGAATATTATAAGCAAATATATGCCACTAAATTGGGCAATCTGGAAGAAATGGACAAATTCCTAGAAACATATAAACTACCAAAACCGAAACAAGAAGAAATAGAAAATTTGAAAAGACTCATAGCCAGTAAAGAAATCAAATTAGTAATCAAAAATCTCCCTAAAAACAAGAGTCCAGGGTCGGATGGCATTCCAGGGGAATTCTACCAAACATTTATTTTTTTTTCATAGTATAGAATGCTTTTATTTACTTTTTCTTAAATAGTTTATTGTCAAGTTGGTTTACATATAACACCCAATGCTCATCCCAACACATGCCCTTCCCCATGCCCATCACCCTCATCCCCCCATCCCCTCCCCCATCAGCCAACCAAATATTTAAAAAAGAGCTACACCTATTCTTTTGAAACAATTCCAAAAAATAGAAATGGAAGGAAAAATTCCAAACTCATTGTATGAAGCTAACATTACCTTGATTCCAAAACCAGACAAAGACCCCACTAAAAAGGAGAACTACAGACCAATTTCTCTGATGAACATGGATGCAAAAATCCTCAACAAGATACTAGCCAACTGGATCCAACAATACATTTTAAAAAAATTATTCATCACAACCAAATGGGATTTATACTGGGATACAGGGCTGGTTCAATATCCACAAAACAATCAATGTGATGCATCACATCAATAAAAGAAAGGACAGGAACCACATGATGCTTTCAATAGATGCAGAAAAAGCATTCGACAAAATACAGCATCTTTCTTGATAAAAACACTCAAGAAAGTAGGGATAGAAGGAACATATCTCAAGATCATAAAAGCCATATATGAAAGATCCGCCGCTAATATCATCCTTAATGCGGAAAAACTGAGATCTTTCCCCCTAAGATCAGGAATACGACAGGATGTCCACTCTCATTATTGTTATTCAACATAGTATTGGAAGTCCTAGCCTCATCAATCAGGCAACACAAAGGAATAAAAAGCATCCAAATCAGCAAAGAGGAAGTCAAGCTTTCACCCTTCACAGACAACATGATACTTACTCTATTTGGAAAACCCAAAAGACTCCACCAAAAAAATTGCTAGAACTGATCCATTAATTCAGCAAAGTTGCAGGATATAAAATCAATGCACAGAAATCGGTTGCATTTCAATACACCAATAATGAAACAACAGTAAGAGAAATCAAGGAATTGATCTCATTTACAATTGGACCAGAACCCATAAAATAACTTAGGAATAAACCAAAGAGGTGGAAAATCTGTACACTGAAAACTATAGGAAGCTTATGAAAGAAATTGAAGAAGACACACACACCAAAGGAAAAATATTTCATGCTCCTGGATTGAAAGAACAAATATTGTTAAAATTTCGATACTACCCAAAGCAATCTACATATTCGATGCAGTCCCTATCAAATTAACACCAACATTCTTCACAGAGCTAGAACAAACAGTCCTCAAATTGGTATGGAACCAGAAAAGACCCTGGACAGCCAAAGAAATCCTGAAAAAGGAAACCAAAGCAGACGGTATCACAATCCCAGACTTCAAGATGTATCACAAAGTTGTAATCAAGACGGTATGGTACTGGCACAAACACAGACACTTATATCAATGGAACAGAATAGAGAACCCAGAAATAGACCCACAAATGTATGGCCAACTAATCTTTGACAAAGCAGTAAAGAATATCCAATGGAATAAAGACAGTCTCTTCAGCAAATGGCATTGGGAAAACTGGACAGTGACATGCAGAAGAATGAACCTGGACCACTTTCTTACACCATACACAAAAATAAACTAAAAATGGATGAAAGACCTAAAGATAGGACAGGAAGCCATCAAAATCCTAGAGGAGAAAGCAAGCAACAACCTCTTTGACCACACCTGCAGCAGCTTCCTGCTCAAATCTCCAGAGGCAAGGGAAACAAAAGCAAAAATGAATTATTGGGACCTCGTCAAGATAAAAACTTCTGCATAGTGAAGGAAACAATTGACAAAGCTAAAAGGCAACCAATGGAATGGGAGAAGATATTTGCAAATGACATATCAGATAAAGGGTTAGCATCCAAAATCTATAAAGAACTTATCAAACTCAACACCCAAAACAACAAATAATCCAGTGAAGAAATGGGCAAAAGATATGAATAGACACTTCTTCAAAGAAGACATCCAGATGGCTAACAGACACATGAAAAGATGGTCAACTTCACTCATCATCAGGGAAATACAAATTAAAACCACAATGAGATACCTCCTCACACCTGTCAGAATGGCTAAAATTAACAACTCAGACAGCAACAGATGTTGGCAAGGATGCAAATAAAGAGGATCTCTTTTGCACTGCTGGTGGGAATGCAAACTGATGCAGCCACTCTGGAAAATAGCATGGAGGTTCCTCAAAAGGTTAAAAGTAGAACTACTCTTATGACTCAGCAATTGCACTATTAGGTATTTATTCAAGAGATACAGGTGTGCTATTTTGAAGGGACACATGCACCCCAATGTTTATAACAGCAGTATAGAGAATAGCCACAGTATGGAAAGAGCCCAAATGTCCATCGACAGATGAATGGATAAAGAAGATATGGTGTACACACACACACACACACACACACACACACACACACACACACACACACGAGTATTACTTGGCAATCAAAAAGAAGGAAATCTTGCCATTTGCAACATAGTGGAAGGAACTAGAGGGTATTATGTTAAGCGAAATAAGTCAGCCAGGGAAAGACAAATATCATATGACTTCATTAATATGTGGAATTTAAGATACAAAACAGATGAGCATAAGGAAAGGGAAGCAAAAATAACATAAAAACAGGGAGGGGGACAAAACATAAGAGACCTTTAAATACAGAGAACAAACTGAGGATTGTTGGAGGGGTCGTGGGTAGGGGGGACGGCTAAATGGGTAAGGGGCATTAAGGAAGACACTTGTTTGGATGAGTGCTGGGTGTTATACATAGGGGATGAATCACTGAAATTTATTCCTGAAATCATTATTGCATTATATGCTAACTAACTTGGATGTAAATTAAAAATAAGTAAATAAATAAAAATAAAAAGATTTAAAATGTTTTACCCTTCTGTAAAAGTAATGTATTTAAACCACTGGCTCAGGGCTTGCCATAAATAGGCAGTCAATAAGTGGTCAATGTTATCCATATTGTTATTATTGTCTATATTATTTATTATTTATGCTATTAGTGTTTATTATTAGTAGTAATAGTATCAATAAAGTATGGTGATAGGTACCTTCTGAAGAATTCTGTGTGGGTGGAACAGAAGCCGTGTGCATGAAAGAAAAGAAAATGTTCTATTCTTTTTCTCTATAGTCTTAGGAAATCTCTTGGCAAAGATACATAGTATAGAGATTGCCATAGGGCTTCTAGAACAGCCAGACACACCTGAATTGTTAAATTCATTTATTCATCCCATCCTTCTTTTGTTCATTTATCATGTCTAATTAGATCCTTATGTGTAATCATCTATACTGGATGGTATGGACATTTTGGCTGTGAATAAAGTTTGACTCCTTTAGAAGCTGATAACCTACTAGGAGAGATGAGATACGTAACTGTTGTACAGGTGAGCATGTCCAGAGTGGACAGCCTTTATAATAGGCTGAAACGTGGAGAGAGGAATAACCACATCATGGGGCACAAATACTGCATACGTATACAGATATGAAACTGACTGCTGGTGGCAGGTCAATTGGAGCCATCTCCTTGCATGTGCTTAGGATTCTTGGCACCTGCTTGCAAGTTCTGACACTGTGTTTTTCTTTCCTTTGCTGCCCTTCCTGAGGTGCTGTCAGGAGTGCTCCTTGTCTTGAATTCTGAGGTCCCTTGAGAATCTGAAGAAATGGCTGCAGCAGCAGTGGCTGGACTGATCCCTGTGCTACACTCAGTGGCTGGCGACAAGTCTAGTTACTACGTCGGGCGCCAGCTGTGGTTTGGCTTCATTGCGGTGTATGGAGTGGTAGTGTATGTGGTCCGCATGCCCTGGGCTCCCATCCATGAAGATTTCTGGTGCCATGGCAACATTACCAATACGTGTTTGATTGAGTGTTTTGAACAAAGTTTTAGCAGTCCTGTAGTGGGAGTTTGGTACTTCTTTTTCTTTATTTTCTTGGCCCTCTTCTTTCTCATGGAATTCTTCATGGCTCAGATTCGTCACAAGCAGATGAAGGCCAAGTCAGTGGACCAAGTGGCAGGTGAAGTGGAGGAAGGCTCCATGGTGGGACTCCAGGAGCACATCCCTTCCCCGAAGAAGTCCATCCTGAGCTTCCACCAAGAGAAGATGCTTTTGCTTTTGTACCTCCTTTACTTCCTCCTGCAGGTTGGCGCACAGTGTGTGTTTTTATTTTTTCTCATGTACCAACACCTGCCCTTGGTGAGCCAAGCCATCATTCACTGCAGCACCAAGAGCTGTCCTGGACCCTATATCTGCCTGATCAGGGGTACCATGGAGAAGCGAATGTCCATCTACACCCTCATCACCTTGTCCTTCATGATCATTCTCTTCTGTTCAGGTTTCTTCATGTACAGCATCCACCATTACCTGTTAAAAGGGTTTGCCAGTGCTAAGTTTTGGCTTCACTAATGTTTGGAGTTCTTATTGAGAGTCTTTCCTCCCTTACACTAGGACATTTGTGTTCCTTTAAATATTGTGTCTGGGGCAGGGCTTCTTGCTGCTATTTCTTTGCTTCAGTCCTTCATAAAATAAACATTTTTTTTCTTGTGTCTTCCTTCTACAGCCAGGCTCAGGTTGTCTAATTGTGGGGTGGGTGGTACACACTTGATGACATTTCAGAGTTTTCGCAAATGTGCTCTCTAATTTGGTCTTCACCAGAAGCCTGTGGCCTTGAGTTTGCTACTTCATCCTTCTGATATTTTCAAATCAGGAAGAGTTTTTATAGTCTTAGAACTAAGACCATTAAAGATTCAGAGGAGATTATGCTCTGGTCTTGTGCTCTGGCTTTCCCAATTTGAGTTCTAAATACAGGGAAGGTAATTCTTTTCTACAGGCAAATTCTCAGGTGGACTGTCAGAGCAAGTTACTCTAGCTCCTAGGTGTGGGCGTAGTCTTGCCACCTCACTTGAGTCTCCAATGAGGACTGAATAAACCTGGATGAATCCCATTGGGGAGAGGCTGTGTGTGGGTAGGGGGGGGGAATGAGGTTTGGAGGAAGCAGTGCATTGGGTTTCACTGTGTTTAAAATCTTGTCTCGATCCAAGACTTGACCTGTCTTATCCTTTAAAAAAATTTTTTTATTGTTATTTTTCTGCACCTGTCTATCTTAAGCTATGTTGAAGCCCAGGTCAAGTCTACACATAGGTTACCAACCATGCTTTGGGCTCCCTGCTGAGTTGTGCCATCTGCAAGCACAAGGTGGTTTGACCAGATATGAATAAAGCTCTCTACATCTGGGGGGAGGCAACAAGATGTGGATCAGAGTGAATATGTTACAGAGAAGGTATGGCTAGTTACCTCATCCTGTGCTAAGCAGTTGTCCCCAGAGCTAATTTGAGTGAAATCTTGTGCCTGAGGCTTGGGTTCCTTCCATTTGTTTCGTGTGAGATGTGGAACAAAGGGCAATGCCAAGAGCCTCACCTTGTTGGGTACAGTCTGTGTTGTCCAAGTAAGCATAATGTTCCCAAACCACTTAGCTGTATGTAGTTGGAGTTTTTTTTGTTTGTTTGTTTGTTTGTTTGTTTTTTTGAGATTGACTGTGGCAGGCAGATCCCAAGGTTGCCCCCAATAATTTTCTGCCTCCTGGTATCCATGTCTTTGCATAATCCCTCCCTTATGGATGTAAGCAGAAACTGTGACTTGCTTCTAACCAATAAGGTGTCATTCTTTTGATTATGTCATATTGTATACAACTCCATTTTATCAGATTAGAACAAGACTTTCCTTTGCTGGCTTTGAGTGAGAGTGGTGCCCCGCTGACTGCCAGCAGGAAATGGGGCCATACAACTGCAAAGGAATTAAATTTTGCCCACAATTCAAATGAACTTTGAAATGGATTCTTCCCCAGTCAAGCCTCCAGATGAGAACAGAGCCCAGCTCACCCCTAGATTGCAGTTTTGTGAAACCATGAGCAGAGGACCCATGCCTGGCCTCCTAACCCAAAGAAACTGTGAGATAACACGTGCATGTTAGGGTGCCTGTGGAGCTCAGTTGCTTAAGTGTCCGAATCTTGATTTTGGCCCAGGTCAAGATCTCACAGTTTGTGAGTTCAAGCCCCACACTGGGCTCTGCACTAATTCTGTGTGGAGCCTGCTTGAGATTCTGCCTCTTTTTCTGCGTGTCCTCCTCCCCTGCAGTCTCTCTGTCTCTCTCAAAACAAATAAACTTAAAAAAAATATGTGCATGTTGTTTTAAGCTGCTAAGTTTGTGGATATTTGTTACATAGCAATGGAAAGCTAACCCACTGACTCCAGGGGCCCCACAATGAGACAAGAGCCAATGGAGGCTGGCTGGTCTCAGCATTAATGCATCTGTGGAGACAGCTTTTCTTCCATCCCAGGAAACAATACTCCTTTGCTTTCTTCTAGCAGCTGGCCCAGTCACAGTCTGAGGGACTTATATATGTAAGTCTTAGGAGGAGAGAGTGCCAGAGACTGAGATGCCTGCTGCTTCTGACCCTTCTGCCTAGATAAGAAGGCTCCCTCATAAGCCAGTCCTGGAAAGATTTTCACTGTCTTGAATGATCCGCCTTAATCTGCACTGGTCTCACACAAGTGGGATCTGAGGTCCCAGAAACTCTTGTTGCAATACTATTGTAAATGAGAACTTGTTGGGCTCATACAGTCTCCACTGGGCACAAAGCTCGGCACTTGGTGCTGCTAGATGCCACCTTTTACTCTCATGAGCACAACTGTGTGCAGGGGCCTCTGAGACCCCATTTTGAAACCCAGCTGGGCTTATGGGGAAGCCACACTCTGTGGATGAGGTTTTATCCAGTGCATGCTTGGAGGCTGTGTAGAAGAGGGAACTGTGAAAACATGTAGGGGTGAATCAGAGCCAAGTGTTGCTGTATACCCAATGTCCTGAACAGTGTCTTGTACATAGTAGGGACACAATAAATACATTTTTGGACAAATGGAGTATAATCATGTGCTCTCAAAGAATCTTGATGTTATTTCTAGGGCTTGTGGGTACTGGTAATACTACTCTCAGGCAGGTTTATTGAGAGTCAAAACTCAGGGTCTGTCTGGTTTATATCACAAGTAAACCTTGCATATCCCCTTTCCCTGGGCTTATCCTGGTTGCAGGTGATGGTGCCTGGATCTGTGCCATCTTCTTTCAAAGACTAGATAGAGGCTGCATCAGAGGCTTCAGTTTAACCACCAGGAAGGACAGTCTGGACATGATAGCAGTCCATCAACAGCTATATTTGAGCATGTATTTATCCAGATGAAGAGTGTCTCAGGCAGAGGGAAGAGCAAGGGCCCTGAGGCGGTGTATTGGTCAAGGTTTAATCAGGAACAGAAACGACACCAATAATTTGAACCGGGAGAGTTTGGTGCAAAGTCTAAGTAGTCAAAGGTGATTAACTAGCCAAAGGTGATTAACTGGGTAGTAGCATAAAAAGAGCATTATAAGGGATCTGGAAGTAGCAATTACAGAAAGCAGCTTCTGCCTCCAGGGCTGACAGAGATGAACCAGGAGGGAAGGGTATGACTGCTACAGGAACATGTAGGCTGTGGGGCATGAGAAAACCTGCCAGAGAGTGACAGACTTGGGTCAGAGCTACTCTGTAGAAGCAGACTCACTTGCCAGAGAGTGCAAGTGGAGCCAGACCATAGGGCTACTGAGACGAGTTCTATCAAGCCTCTCACACACCAGAACTTGATGGCTGCTGCACCAAGAAGTAGCACATTGGAAGGCGTTCCCTTCTTTATACTATTGCCTTCTGGTATTGCCTATTTTACCTACTGATAAGTCCCAACAACAAACCATCTGGCAAAGGAGAAATGTTTACAGAGTCTAGCCCTAGTATCACAAAGCTGGGCAAAAAACCCAAGCCCAAACCAAACCAAAATCAAAACCAAAACAAACAAAAAAACCAACCAGAACTAAACCAACCAACCAAACAAAAAAACCCAAACAATAAGTCTGGCACAGTCTACCTTTTTGGCAACTCAGTTTCTATGTGTATCTTCCTGCACACATTTGAACTTCCAAACAACAATGAAACAACTCTGTTTCCACTTAACAAAGTTATAGCTGTGTTTTGTACAAAGAAGAAGTGCTCATACTTTCTCCAAACTGGAAACAGTCACAATTGACGTTATACCCATTGCTGACTGTATTCAGTACTTTCAAATTTGGTCACAGTTCCACCGAAAATTTTGTTACTTGTGGAGATGAGCACTGGGTGTTATATGGAAACCAACTTGACAATAAACTATTAAAAAAAAGAAAGAAAATTTTGTTATTTAACGGCTAAATTATAAAGTTGATTTTCTTTTCTTTTAATTTTTTCCCTAATGTTTTGCTTAGTTTTGAGAGAGAGAGTGTGATAGGTGGAGGGGCAAAGAGAGAGGGAGTCACAGAATCTGAAGCAGGCTTCAGGCTCTGAGCTGTTGGCACAGAGTCTGATGCAGGGCTTGAACCCACGAGCAGTGAAATCATGACCTGAACTGAAATCAGATACTTAACCAACTGAGCTATCCAGGGCCCCCTATAATTTTCAACAACTTGTGTATATAAAATAATAAGGGAAGGGATAAGAAGAAAATAGTTATGATTTACAAATAAATATGTACACAAAAAGAAAATATGTAAAAATAATACAATCCTTGTAATTGGTCACAAAGTCATAGTTGATATTTTTCCCTTCTTTACTTATGTTTTTCTTTGACCTGAGACAGAAACTTAAGTTTCTGGTTGGGGATCTTTATCCTGATAGGGTGACATAAACTGTCATTTCTCCCTTCCAAGTATTAACCAGGCCCGACCCTGCTTAGTTTCTGAGATCAGATGAGATTGGGCGCGTTCAGGGTGGTATGGCCTTAGACACAAACTGTCATTTCTGAAGGGTCTGAATCTTCAAGAGTCTTGACTTTTTCTTTTGTTTGCTAGTTTTCAATTAACCTTCATTATTGGACATGGAAATATTCTGGGTTCCAGAAAGAGTTTCCTTTGTTCCCTACTATGTAGGGGCAACACAATTTCCCATTGGCAATTGTGATTGATCACTCCAGCCTGTAGGGTAGCTTTTTTTTTTTTTTTTTTTTGCTTGTTGGTTCAGCATAAAGATCTCCAAATAGCCAAGTGGTAGTCTCATCTTCCAAATCAATGGAACCATCATGTCCTTTGATACTAGCACTTCCCCATTGGAAACTAAGATACCCAAACCGGAAGAGCTCATGGTTGCTGAATGGGAAGTGAAAATTTCTGCCAATGTGTTTTTAGGTATAATAGTGAGGGGAGCTTCTCTCACTTCCAGTCTTTGATTCAGAGGGTATATATATTCTGGTTCTGTGGGAGATAGCACCATATAATGGCTTCTGATTCAAAGCATATATTTCAGAGTGTTAGACCCCATCTTTTCAGAGTTCTGTCTCACAGTTGATACTGCAACTGAGTTTTCAGTAAGTCATTCTACCTTTCAATTCAGTCAGCTGCTTCTGGGTAATGGGATATTGTGGGGAGATTCTATGGGCATGAGCCTATTGCTATACTTTCTTTGCTGC